GGACAGGTGTGATCACTAAGTCCATCCCCTCTAGTTTGTTTTTTTCCATGCTGCTGGGAATGGAACCCAAATCCTCATACTTGTTAGGCCAGTGCACTATGATTGAACTAAACCCCAAGGCTTTACTTTTCTTTCTTTTGCAGGGAGGTGGGTTGACTCCCCATTTAGCCCCAGGCCTCCTGAATGCTGGGAACATAGGTAAATGCTACTATGTTTTGCCTTAAGTTTTTATTCTTAAAAAGTATATATTTATTTTTATGTGTGTGAATGTTTTGCTTGCCTGTATGTAAGGCACCCATGTCATGCAATGCTTGCAGAGGCCAAAAGAGGGCATTGGGTCCCCTAGAACTGGAGTTACTGATGGTTGTTAGCGGCCATCATGGGTGCTAGGAACAGAACCCAGATCTTCTGCAAGAGCAGCCATGCTCTTAAACACGGAGCCATCTCTCCAGCCCCCAAAGCCTTTGTTCTCAATTTAAAGAGGAACTATTTAGTTTTTTATTTTTAATGAAAAACAGATACCAGTTTATTAAGATACTAGGAATGTGCCTGGACCTCTCCTTGGTTTTGTCTTTCCCAACCATTGGATTTTTTCCTGTGGAGTTTCTCTTCTTCCTTCACTCCCTCTCTCCCTCCTTCCCTCTCCTTCCTCCCTTCCCTTCCTTCCTCCTCACCTCCTCTCCCTTTCCTCCCCTCGCTCTCCCTGCCTTCCCTTCCTTTTCCTTCTCTTCCCTTCCCCTCCCCCTCTCCCCCTCTCTTCCCTCCCTGGTGGAAGACAGGCCTTGGCTGTTTCTTGGAGCAGGCAAACATCTCAAACTCTTCCCAGCCAGGGCGGAAAGTGCTTCCCACTGCCATTGCCTCTGTGGTTTGAGCTCTGTGACCAAAAACATCTTAATTAGCTGGTATCGATATAGATATAGCTCTGTTCTGTTTGTTTTTAAGGCAGTCTCCTCTGGATTATACTCAATTGACTGAGCATCCCCTTTTCTGGGATGCTTATAAACTAGAAAGTCATTCTTTTTCTTGAAACTTAAAATCTCCCCTAATTGTCTCCTTTAAGACCTGATCCTCCCATCTGATTCTGCTTTTTTTCCTTTTTGTGGCCTTGATATATTTGAGTAGGGTAGGTATCATTAAGTCCCTTTCTAAGAGTCTCTCTCTGCTTCAGGGAGCCACAAGCATGGGCTGGAGGTGGAGGAAGTCGCCTCAGGTCTGAACCTTTTTTCTCTTTTGCAGTGAAGCTGCTTACTCAGTAATACAGACTCTCACAGCGTCGTAGCTCAAGCCCAGGCTGGCCTGGAATTTGCAATCCTACACCTGGCTCTATATTGCTGGGGTTGCAAGCATCCTTGCAACTCCAGACCTCTATTTTCTATAATTTTTTAGTTTTTGAGACAGGGTCTCACAATATAGCCCTGGCTAGCCTTGAACTTCCAATGTGACTAGGCTGGCCTTGAACTCATAGAGATCTGCCTCCCCAGTGCTGGGATTAAAGGCATGTGCCGCCATGCCAAGCCAGATCCCATCTTCTTGAAGGCTGTTAAGAGTGGTCTGGCATCCTTTGCTGTAGAGGTTTTCTCATTCAACACAACTTTATCATTGAATCAGACACTCTCCCTTCAAGGTACTAGAAGTACAAAACCAGAAACTACTCTCTAGCTTCTTATTTCAGGGGGTGGGGGTGGGGTTTGCGTTTGTTCTGGATGCTACAGCTACCAGAGAAGGGTGGGTTAGTGACTCAACAGCTGCTGGAGCCTGCAAGTAGAGTCAAGTGAGTCACTTTTATTGCTCAAGAGTAAAGACAGGTAGAGTGGAATAGAGGGAATCACAGAATTTAAGAGGTCAGAATTTGGTATGTGAGAACAGGGGCTGGTGAGGTCTTTGAGAGAAACATTTGCTTTTCCTGGTAGCTGACCTGTCAATGGGGAATAATCCCCATTTCTCATCTTGTTGTGGAATTAAATGAAGGAGTTCTGAGCATGGGCCCAGTAATTGCATCTGCCTCCCTCAGTGGTTAGGAACATCAAATAGTGTGTATAAACACTCCACACCATGCCTGGCATATGGCATTGGGTGAGTTGGCCACTTTCATTAGTCATGGCTCTTGTTCATTTATAGTGAATCCTCTGCTATCCTGGGACCAATACCTTCAGTAAGAATTGAGTAAATTGTGGGTTGGAGAGATGGCTCGGCCATTCAGAGCCCTTCCTGATGTTTCCCAATTCAGCTCCCAACACTCACACTGGGTGGTAACTCCCGGTCCAGGGGATGATGCCCACTTTCTGGCCTCCACAGGCACTGGCAGACAGACACAAATAAATGAAAATAAAATATTTAAAAAATTATTTTTATTTTATGTGTATGAGTGTGTTGCCTGCACGTATTAAGAACACCCATGTGCAATGCTCCCGGAGGTCAGAAGACATGTATCCCCTGAACTGGAATTACGGATGGTTGTTAGCCCCACTGTGGGTGCTGGGAATAGAACCCGAGTCCTCTGCAAGAGCAGACAGTGCTCTCAACGGCTGAGCCATCTCTCCAGCCCGAAAATAAAATCTTAAAAAGAATTGGGTAACCTGTCCCAAACCAAGGGCTGCGAGTTGGAAGTGCATGGGTTGAGGCAGGCAAGAAATCCGTAAGGGTCTGAACTGTGAGGCTGCAGGGCGTTCATACTGAGTGCCGTGGCCCCAAGGAGGCGAAGAATAAGGAAACCAACTGCCGAGGACGTCTTCCAGCCTGCTTCCTTGTTCGCCTACCTCAAATTCTTCATTTAGGGAGGCGAGTGAGCAGGGATCCCAGAGGCCGGGGTGTGGCCGCGAGGGGGCGCAGCCCCTGCAGGACGGAGCCCGGTTTGTGCGGACTCGATGGCTGCGGTGAGTCACTTTCCGGGATGAGTCAACCTTCCCCGCGTTTCCTGCGCCCCCTCGGGCCTCGCCCCGGCCTCGGCTCGGACTGTCTCTCACGACAGGGCTCAGCCTGGAGTGGGCTCTCCGGAGGCCTGGTGGGGCCTGGGTCTTCCCTGAAACCCAGTCCGGCTTTCCCATAGCCCCATGGGGCGCGCGCTTCCTGCGGCGGGGCTTGGGAGGAGGCCGCGGTGCATACTCCAGGCTCCCTGGGTTTCCCGGGCAACGCCACTTCCAGCGGGTCTCCCATCCCATTTCTCAGGGGCCGGGACTTGCTTCTCCCTGGCGCCTAGTTTCAGGGCCCCGCCCAGGCCTGGTCTGGTGATGGGAGGGGTGTACCCGGGCTGGGCGGCGGAGGGAAACTCGCGGCCTGTCAAAACACTAGGGGCCTCTTGGAGCCCGCCCTGCGCCCCGCTCCTGCTCCATGGGCCAGCACGGGTGTTTTTGCCTGTACTCAAAGCCTGAAGGTGCATGATCCCCCAGTGGGTCCTAGCTGCAGGTTAAGGTGCACGGCTTGGGGAGGGCTCAGACCCTGTAGGTGTTCAGTTCATAGATTTCCCAGAACCTGGGAGGTTGGAGAGGTCATCAAGGAAGTGACTTGTCCAGAGGCCCTGGAGCTTGTGGGTTTGGCTGGGCCTCCCACTCACAAGGAGCTGGTAAATGCCTAAAATAATGTTTAGCCGGTAGCACTTAATAAACATTGCACCTAATAATCCACATATTATTTATGTATAAATTAGGTATAAAGTTATAATTAATACACAAAATCATGTAAATATCTGCACATGTATGTACATTTATCTTTATAGGGCCCTCACACTGTATACTAGGTATTGTTTCAATGTCTCTTCAGGCATTAATTATCTCATGTGATTTCCACAAGACACTAGGACATAAGTATTATTATTCCCATATGGTAGCTGAGGAAGTGGATACTCAGAGAAGTAACTTTTGAGCTGGGTGTGGTGGCACATGCCTGTGATCCAAGCACTGTAGAGCTGGAGGCGGAAGAATCCAGAGTTCAAAATCATCCTCAGCTACATAGTGAGTTTGAGGCCAGCCTGGGCTACATCTCTATCTCAAAAATAGGAGGGGCGGGGGGGGGCTTGTTGGAAAGATGGCTCAGGAATTAAAAGCACTGCCTGCTCTTGCAGAAGGACCCAGGTTTGATTCCCAGCACCCATATAGTGGCTGATAACTGTGACTTCAGTTCCAGCGGATCCAGTGCCCTCTTTTGGGCTCTGCAGGCATTGCATGCACATTACACACCTACATACATGTAGGCAAAACACTCATATACATAAAATAAAAATACATAAATAAGCCTGGCGTGGTGGCACACGCCTTTAATCCCAGCACTTGGGAGGCAGAGGCAGGTGGATCTCTGTGAGTTCAAGGCAAGCCTGGTCTACATAGTGAGTTCCAGGACAGCTGGGGCTACAGGGAGACCCTGTCTCAAAAAGATCACGCACACACACCCAAAAAGATAAATAAAAAGGAGAAGAAAAGAGGAGAGAAGAAGAAAGGGGAAAAAAGAAGGGGAACTTTTTCAGGAACATGAGGCTAGGAAGCCTAGTATAGGTCCCTGCCTTAGACCTCTCTGACTTTAGTGCACTGAGATTTCAAATTATTGGTGGGGTCTAAGAATGTACTGTAAATGTCTTGCCCCTTCAGGGTGTGTGAGGAACAGAAGTTAAGTTGGGCCCTCGGAGGAGCTATTTTCCTGTCAGAAACCATTGCCCTTGTTAGCTCAGGTCCTATCTGCAGAAGACCAAGCTTTGAAACTGTTCCCAGGTGCCAGAGGGCAGGGAAGGCTTCTAGATGCTTCTCTTGTTTTTGGCAAACCATCTGGTCAACCCTGGTCTCAGGCTCCCATCATTGCCCTCTGCAGGGTTGGCTGACCACAGCTGCAGTTTCGGGGTCAGTTGCTTTTAGCAAGTATGTGCCAACAGAATGGGGCTGATTGGGATTCAGAATCTCTTGAGGACATGCTGAACACAGATTTCATAGCCCATTTGAGAACAGAGTCTCAACTCCGTGTGTTGACACAGTGGAAATGCTGGTTCCTGCTGCTCTTCCATTCTGATGGAGCTGGAGCTCAGCTTGGGCATTTGGATCTCCACGAGCTTCCAGGTGACTCAGCTGAGGCTGAGAACCACTGCTGAGTCAGTAGCTTGAGATGATCCTGGGAATCTGAAATTTGAAGAGTAAGTGCCAATGGTTTTTATGTGTGACTGTGTATGCAATCTTCTGGTCTAGAACTCCCTGTCTTCTAACTGTAGTGAAGAATTCAGTTCTTCTGTGGGAGCGCCAGGGTCACAGATAACAGCTGCCTCTGAATAAGTCCTGTCCTGACTCAGTCTCTCTGGTCCCCTGCCTCAGTGCATGGGGTTTTCTCCTTTCCAGACACCAGTATTCCAGTATTCTCCCTCACCTAGTAGAATTCATTTCTCAGGGGTTCTGGGTATTCCTCTGAGCTCTCCACTTGAGGCTGGGACCCTTAAACTGTAAGGACTGTAAACCATGTTGGCAGCTCGTGGACCTCTGTGAGCTATCAGTTTGTCGACTTTCCCCAGTTCTCCAGAACTGTTTGGGTGAATAGATGATCTCTCCCATTCAAGTTGCATTCCATCTTGGAGTCAAGTTATATCTGGTGACCGCCTCCCCAGTTTAATAACCTTTTTCATTTATCTTTGGATACTAGGTATCATTATTCTAGATTCAGAGTGTTAATCTAGGCATTTAGGAACCTGTAGTAATGGTTAATTTTAACCGTCAACCTGACTGGATTTAGAATCTCCTAAGAGACACGCCTCTGGGTATATGTATGAAGGAATTTCCAGAGAGGTTTAACTGAGGAAGGAAAACCCACCCTGAATGCTGGCAGCTCTATCCTGTGGGTTAGGGTCCTGGAATGAATCAAAAGGGAAAATGGAGAAAGTGATTTGAAGACAAGCTTTCCCCTCTCTTTGCTGTCTGACTGCAGACACAGCATGATCAGCTCTGTCATGTTCCTGCTGACACAGCTAGACATGTCATCATCATGTCTTCTCTGCCATGATGGACTATACTCTCAAACTATGATCCAGAATAAACCCTTTCTTCCTAAAGTTGCTTTCACCAGGTTGGTTTGTTTGAGGCAGGTCTCACTATGTAGCCCTGGCTGGCTTAGAACTCACCCTGTGGACCAGGCTGGCCTCTAACCCACAGAGATCTTCTTGCCTCTGAAGTAATTACTACTTCTGGGTTTTGAACTGCATGCTCTGGGGCATGTCGCTTAATATCTTTGATTCTGAATTTCCTCATCTGCTGAATCAGTACCTCATGGGATTGCTGAGTGGCTCAAAAAAGAAAAAGTTGTCCTGCAGGGATGTAGGAAAGACTACTCCTTAGTGAGTTGTACTTAGCAAGCTCCCTCTAACTTCTTAGGAGACATCATACCCAATTCTAAACAAGTCTTTAGATTTATAGGACCCAAGCAACTGGTGACCGTTAGATAACATCAGAACGTGTAAAACTCTTCCTTATTCTTTAGTTCTAGGCCTCAGCAAACACAAAGCCTAAAAAGCCATGAGTTTACCTTGCAGAAATGTACTGGTTCCTAAAGAATTCCTGGGTGAGGCATGGTGACGTGTGCCTGTAATCTTAGCACTTAGGAGGCTGAGGCAGGAGGATCATGTGTTCCAGTCCAGACAAGACTGTACTAGAAACAAAGCAAAAACCCTAAATACACGGAGACATACATGTGTGCATACATGCAGACCAGGAACTAGCCTCAGGAGGTCAAGATTGATTACAATATTCTGGCCAGAGAAGAAGATAGGAGACCTTGCTCAGCATGCAGACTCCCTGCCTATGGCTCCGTCTCTCCCTGTAAAAGCCTCTTGTGCCCCTGAGTTCCCAAAGGTGGAGCTTTAAGGATAATAGTTCCCTTTATTTTCTTAGGTGCTAGTCCTTGAACCAAATTGCTTTCCTTCCCATCAACTCTTGTCTTCCAAGCAGTGAGTGACTGGACCTGAGCTCTGGTAACAGCAACATTAATATATATCTAAAGCCATTGAATTGGATAAATGGAACATTCCCATAGACAAAACAATGTATAATTTTACTTTTTATTTTTTTGTCAGAATCTTCTGTATCTCAGGCTGGTCTTGAACTCACCATGCATTTGAGGATAACCTTGAACTTTTGATCAGTAACACGTGTTTTATGCAAGGTTGGGGATCAAACTCCGGGTTTTGTGCATTCTAGGCAAGCACTCTATCAACTGAACTACATCCCTGTCACTAATGCTGCCTTTCCTAAGGAACCCCCAAAAGGTCAGCAGCTAATATGTAAGTGCTGATAATGGTACATCCTAGAACCCTGTGCCTGTTCCTCACTGAATTAAGGTCTATTCACAGTGCCTGCTGTAGGTCTCCAGTCAGGTATGGGGGATTCCAGGCTGTTCATCAGATAGTGAAGCAATCCTCATAGGAAAAGAAACGGGAGGCTGGTAATGAAGCTCAGCAGCCAGCAACTCAGAAGGTAAAGTAATACTTGGGACTGCCTTATCAGTTAAAAGCACTGGCTGCTATTGCAGAGGACCCCGGTCTGATTCCCAGCACCCACATGCTGGCTAACAACCATCTGTAACTCTAGTTCCAGGGGATTCAACCACCTCTTCTGGCCTCCGTGGGCACTGCATGACCTGGGTGCACGTACATACATGTAGGAAATACACTCATACATATAAAAATAATAAATGAAATATTTAAAAAATACTGTTTTAAAAGGCATGTTAGGGGGTTGGAGAGATGGCTCAGTGGGTAAGAGCACTGGCTGTTTTTGCAGAAGACCCGGGTTCAATTCCCAGCACCTACATAATGGTTAACAACTATCTGTAACTCCAGTTCCAGGGGATCCAATACCCTCTTCTGGCCTCTGTGAGCTTTGCACAACACAGGTGCACTTACATATATACAAGTGCACTCATACACATAAAATAAAAATAAGTAAAATAAATTTTCAAAAGCATGTTCAATGCCAGGTCACTCCTCCTAGGTTCCTCCCCTTCCCCACACTCCTCTCTCCTTCACTCTGGGCTCTCTCCAGCATCCTCTGTGACACTTTACTGTCATTTCTTCCCCACACCCTTCCTTCCTAGAATGACTTTCACCATGGCTGCCCAAGTACCCCACCCAGAGCCTCCATCCATTGTTCTCACAAAAACTCTAATTGGGAATGGATGCAGCAAGGGAAACTACTCTGCCCGGGGTCAAGAAGGAAGTAAAGAGGGCTGGGAATGGGCTGAGTGGGTGACGAAAAATGTGAGCTCCAACCAGTCCCTGGGCTTGGACCTTATTGATAGCTCACAGTGGCTTCCATAGCAAGGGTCAGAAAAGCGCATCGCTTCCCCTGTCTGGACCCCATGGATTAATGGCTTGTTGTGGCTTTTCTTCCCTATTCTGATCCCCTCGAGCCCTGGCTGGTGTGGACTGCAGGTTTCTCAGCTTAGTTATTTCTGCCTTCGTTTCCCAGTCTGACCTGAGGAAGCAAGTGGGGTTGACTGGGATAAAGCAAGTATTCTGACTGTCACCGATTGTCACTCCAGGCTTACTGTCCACATTCTCCCCCTGCCCTGTCTTTGCAGGCTGCCGTTTGTGACTCTGCTGAACTCTCTTGCCCTCTACTGCCACCAGCCAATGGGAACCCCAGCCAGATTGGTGGGCTAAAGGGGAGTGGGGTGGGGCTCTAGCACTCATCCTCTGGCCCATCCTGCTGGGCTGCTGGGTGGCAGTGGCTGTGTTCCCGTCCTGAAGATCACAGCTCCGGTCTGGCAGCCCCCTGAAGCTCCTGTTTCTGCTTATTGCTCCTGTCCCGTTGCTCCCTCTGCCTCAGCGTGCCAGAAGCTCCCTGTTCTCACTAGCCTCAGGGTTCCTTTCCATTCCCAATGCTGCCCCTCGACCCTGCCTTCTTTGGTATACTCCCACATATAATCTAAGATCGACCCTGGGAGTTTGCTTGTCCAGAGATATCTAGGCCTAAACTCTGAGGTTAGAGGGCCATTTCTGGATTTCAAACTTGCTCTGTAAAGCATCACAGCCCCCAAGTAGGAAGTCAGTTAGTATAGTCACTCATTTCTCAACCTTCCCTGTTCTTATCAGATGAAAGTCTTGACTGAATTGCATTAGTGCAAAGCCTGTGTCTGAATTGCATGGACATTCATGTCATGGGCCTTTACATCTACAGAGTAGATGTAAAGAAAGTCTGTTAGGTAGGTTTTTATGTTTTTAAAAATGAATTAGTGCTGGAGAGATGGCTCAGTGATTAAGAGCATTGCTGTTCTTGCAGAGGACCCAGATTTGGTTCCCAGCACCCACATGGCAACTAATAACTGTTCTTAACTCCAGTTCTAGGGTATCCAACACCCTCTTCTGACCTCTGCGGGCATTGCACGGCATGGGTGCACTTCTGTACATGCAGGCAATACATGCATACACATAAAATAAAAATAATAAAAATATTAAAAATTACTTATTATTCTTATTTTATGTGTATAAGTGTATTGTATGCATGTATGTAAGTGCACCTGTGTCATGCAAGGCCTGAGGAGGTCAGAAAAGGGCGTCGAATCCCCTAGAACTGGAGCTACTGACAGTTTTTAGCTGCCACATGGGTGCTGGGAACAGAACCCAGGTCCTCTGAAAGAGCAGCCATTGCTCTTAACAGCGGAGCCATCTCTCCAGCTCCACAATTTTCATTTTAAAGTGTTTTATATAGTGAGCGCTTGAATATATACATATATAAC